GGTGGGGAGGGGTCACGACCCCGCCGTGACCTCCCCGTGACCCCCTCCCGGGCCCCCAAGGGTCCTCCCCCCCCCCCCAACCCCCGGCTCCTGTCTCTTTAAGGACCCCGCCCCCGCCCCTGATTGGCTGCAGAGAGCGCCCCTCCCGTTCTGATTGGCTCCCGGAGCGTGGGCGGGGTTTATGGGTTGACTGCGTCCCCCCCAGCTGTGATTGGCTGATGGGGAGGGACGGGTGGAGGGGGCGGAGCTGGCGAGCAGCGGCATCTGCCATTGGTTAGGCGTTTGGGCGAAGCTGATTGGCTGCTGAGTTGGGCGTGGAGGGGGTGGGGGGGGTGGGGGCTGCTGATTGGCCACGGAGTGATGGGGTGCGGCAGGGAGGGGGCGAGTCACGTGATGGACACATCGGGTGGCACCCCCACATGCGTGTGCATGCGTGTCCCGCGCATGCGTGGTCATGTGATGTCACACACGTGTGTTCATGTGACACTGCACACACGTGGTCATGTGACATTGCACAAGTGTGTTTGCGTGACACTGCATGCACGTGTTCACGTGTGTCTAGCACACACATGGTCACATGACACTCTGCACACGTGATCATGTGACACTGCACATGTGCAGTCATATTACACTGCACACACGTGTTCATGTGTGTCTAGCACATGTGATCATGTGACATAGCACAAGTGTGTTCACGTGACACTGCACAATTGTGTTCGCGTGACTCTGCGCATACGTGATCACGTGACTACACACATGCGTTCACATGACACTGCACACACATGTCCGGGATGACCTGCACACGCGTGATCACATGACACAGCAGATGTGTCTTCATGGGTGTCCCGCTTACAGGTGACCCCGTGACCCCACATTGCGTGACCACGTGACCCCGCCCACGGGTGACCACGTGACCATGTCCCGCCTGGGCCGCCTCTGCCCCTCCCGCTCCCTGCTGCTCCTCTGTGGCCTCCAGGAGCGCTTCCGGCCCCACGTGCGCGGCTTCGGCCTGGTCCTGAGCGCGGCCGCAAGGTGCCCACAGGGACCCATAGGGACCCATAGAGACCCATAGAGAACCATAGAGACCCATAGGGACCCATAGAGACCCATAGAGACCCATAGAGAACCATAGAGACCCATAGAGACCCATAGAGACCCATAGAGACCCATAGAGACCCCATAGAGACCCATAGGGACCCATAGAGACCCATAGGGACACATAGGGACACATAGAGACCCATAGAGACTTCATAGAGACCCATAGGGACCCATAGAGACTCCATAGAGACCCCATAGAGACCCATAGGGACCCATAGAGACCCATAGGGACCCATAGAGACCCATAGAGACCCATAGAGACACATAGAGACCCATAGAGACCCATAGGAACCCCATAGAGACCCCATAGAGACACATAGAGAGCCATAGAGACCCATAGAGACCCATAGAGACCCATAGAGACCCATAGAGACACATAGAGACCCCATAGAGACCCATAGGAACCCCATAGAGACCCCATAGAGACACATAGAGAGCCATAGAGACCCATAGAGACCCATAGAGACCCATAGAGACCCATAGAGACACATAGAGACCCATAGAGACCCATAGGACCCCATAGAACCCCATAGAGACCCATAGAGACCCATAGAGACCCATAGAGACCCATAGAGACCCATAGAGACCCATAGAGACACATAGAGACCCATAGGGACCCATAGAGACCCCATAGAGACCCCATAGAGACCCATAGAGACCCATAGAGACCCATAGAGACCCATAGAGACCCATAGAGACCCATAGAGACTCATAGAGACCCATAGGGACCCATAGAGACCCATAGAGACCCCATAGAGACCCATAGAGACCCATAGAGACCCATAGGGACACATAGAGACCCATAGAGACCAATAGACCCATAGGGACCCATAGAGACCCATAGAGACCCCATAGGGACACATAGGGAGCCATAGGGACCCATAGGGAGCCATAGAGACCCATAGGGAGCCATAGGGACCCATAGAGACCCATAGGGACCCATAGGGACCCATAGAGACCCCATAGGGACCCATAGAGACCCATAGAGACCCATAGGGACCCATAGAGACCCCATAGAGACCCATAGAGACACATAGAGACCCATAGGGACCCATAGAGACCCATAGGGACCCATAGAGACCCATAGAGACCCATAGGGACCCATAGAGACACATAGAGACCCATAGAGACACATAGAGACCCATAGAGACACATAGAGACCCATAGAGACCCATAGAGACACATAGAGACCCATAGAGACCCATAGAGACCCATAGAGACCCATAGAGACCCATAGAGACCCATAGAGACCCATAGGGACACATAGAGACCCATAGAGACCCATAGAGACCCATAGAGACCCTAGAGACCCATAGAGACCCATAGAGACCCATAGAGACCCATAGGGACCCATAGGGACCCATAGGGACACATAGAGACCCATAGAGACACATAGAGACCCATAGGGACCCATAGAGACCCATAGAGACCCATAGAGACCCATAGGGACCCATAGAGACCCATAGGGACACATAGAGACACATAGAGACCCATAGAGACCCATAGGGACCCATAGAGACCCATAGGGACACATAGGGACACATAGAGACCCATAGAGACCCATAGAGACCCATAGGGACCCATAGAGACCCATAGAGACCCCATAGAGACCCATAGGGACCCATAGAGACTCCATAGAGACCCCATAGAGACCCATAGGGACCCATAGAGACCCCATAGAGACCCATAGGGACACATAGAGACCCCATAGAGACCCATAGGGACACATAGAGACCCATACAGACCCATAAGGACACATAGAGACCCCATAGAGACCCATAGGGACCCATAGAGACCCTATAGAGACCCCATAGAGACCCCATAGAGACCCATAGGGACCCATATAGAGACCATAGGGACCCATAGGGACACATAGAGACCCATAGGGACCCATAGAGAGCCATAGGGACCCATAGGGACACATAGAGACCCATAGGGACCCCATAGGGACCCATAGAGACCCTAGGCACCCCATAGAGACCCTTAGAGACCCATAGAGACCCATTGGGACCCCATAGGGACCCATAGGGACACATAGAGACCCATAGAGACCCATAGAGCCTCATTGGGACCCCATAGGGACCCATAGGGACACATAGAGACCCCATAGGGACCCATAGGGACACATAGAGACCCCATAGACACCTATAAAACCCTATGAGACCCACAAAGATGCCCTAACCCCTGGACACTCGTATCTGCTCCCATTGACCCCATTGGGGCTCAATGGCGATCAATGGGGTGCAATGGGATCAATGGGGTTCATTGGGGCTCAATGGCGATCAGTGGGTGCAATGGGATCAATGGGGTTCACTGGGGCTCAATGGTGATCAGTGGGGTGCAGTGGGATCAATGGGGTTCATTGGGGCTCAATTGTGATCAGTGGGGTGCAGTGGGATCAATGGGGTTCATTGGGGCTCAGTGGCGATCAATGGGGTGCAATGCAATCAATGGGGTTCATTGGGGCTCAATGGCGATCAATGGGGTGCAATGGGATCAATGGGGTTCATTGGGGCTCAATGGCGATCAATGGGGTGCAATGCGATCAATGGGGTTAATTGGGGCTCAATGGCGATCAATGGGGTGCAGTGGGATCAATGGGGTTCATTGGGGCTCAATGGTGGTCAGTGGGGTGCAATGGGATCAATGGGGTTCATTGGGGTGCAGTGGGGTGCAATGGGATCAGAGGGGTTCAGTGGGCATCTATAGGGTTCAATGGGTTACAATGGGGTTCAGTGGGGATCAGTGGAGTTCAAAGGTTTCAATGGGGTTCAGTGGGGCTCCATAGGGATCAATGAGGATCAATGGGGTTCAGTGGGTTTCAGTGGGGATCAGTCGGGTTCAGTGGGATTCAAAGGGGAACAATGGGGTTGAATGGTGTGCAGTGGGGCTCCCTAGGGATCAATGGGAATCAGTGGGGTTCAGTGGGGATCAAGGCGGCTCAATGGGTTCAATGGGAATCAGTGGGGCTCAGTGAGGTTCAATAGGGATCAATGGGGTCACTGGGGTTCCATGGGTGTCAATGTTTTCCATGGGTGTCAGTGGGTGTCAGTGGGTGTCAGTGGACTCCAATGGATTCCATGGGTGTTAATGGGTGTCAGTGGGTGTCAGTGGACGCCAATGGGTTCCATGGGTGTCAATGGGTTCCATGGGTGTCAGTGGGTGTCAGTGGGTGTCAGTGGGCTCCAATGGATTCCATGGGTGTTAATGGGTGTCAGTGGGTTCCAATGGGTTCCATGGGTGTCAGTGGGTGTCAGTGGGCTCCAATGGGTTCCATGGGTGTCAGTGGGTGTCAGTGGGTGTCAGTGGGTTCCAATGGGTTTCAGTGGGTGTCAGTGGACGCCAATGGGTTCCATGGGTGTCAGTGGGTGTCAGTGGGTGTCAGTGGACTCCAATGGATTCCATGGGTGTTAATGGGTGTCAGTGGGTGTCAGTGGACGCCAATGGGTTCCATGGGTGTCAATGGGTTCCATGGGTGTCAGTGGGTGTCAGTGGGTGTCAGTGGGCTCCAATGGATTCCATGGGTGTTAATGGGTGTCAGTGGGTTCCAATGGGTTCCATGGGTGTCAGTGGGTGTCAGTGGGCTCCAATGGGTTCCATGGGTGTCAGTGGGTGTCAGTGGGTGTCAGTGGGTTCCAATGGGTTTCAGTGGGTGTCAGTGGACGCCAATGGGTTCCATGGGTGTCAGTGGGTGTCAGTGGGTGTCAGTGGACTCCAATGGATTCCATGGGTGTTAATGGGTGTCAGTGGGTGTCAGTGGACGCCAATGGGTTCCATGGGTGTCAATGGGTTCCATGGGTGTCAGTGGGTGTCAGTGGGCTCCAATGGATTCCATGGGTGTTAATGGGTGTCAGTGGGTTCCAATGGGTTCCATGGGTGTCAGTGGGTGTCAGTGGACGACAATGGGTTCCATGGGTGTCAGTGGGTGTCAGTGGGTGTCAGTGGACGCCAATGGGTTCCATGGTTGTCAGTGGGTGTCAGTGGGCTCCAATGGGTTCCATGGTTGTCAGTGGGTGTCAGTGGGCTCCAATGGGTTCCATGGGTGTCAGTGGGTGTCAGTGGGTTCCAATGGGTTCCATGGGTGTCAGTGGGTGTCAGTGGACGCCAATGGGTTCCATGGGTGTCACTGGGTGTCAGTGGGTTCCAATGGATGTCAGTGGGTGTCAATGGGTTCCAATGGATGTCAGTAGGTGTCAGTGAGTCCCAAGGGTGTCAGTGGGTTCCATGGATGTCAATGGGTGTCAATGGGTTTCAGTGGGGCTCAATGGGTGTCAATGGGTGTCAATGGGTGTCAATGGATGTCAATGGGTGTCAATGGGTGTCAATGGATGTCAATGGGTGTCAGTGGGTGTCAATGGGTGTCAATGGGTGTCAATGGATGTCAATGGGTGTCAGTGGGTGTCAGTGGGTGTCAGTGGGTGTCAATGGGTGTCAATGGGTGTCAATGGGTGTCAATGGGTGTCAATGGGTGTCAGTGGGTGTCAATGGGTGTCAATGGGTCAATGGGTGTCAATGGGTGTCAGTGGGTGTCAATGGATGTCAATGGATGTCAATGGGTGTCAATGGATGTCAATGGGTGTCAATGGATGTCAATGGATGTCAATGGGTGTCAATGGGTGTCAATGGGTGTCAATGGGTGTCAATGGGTGTCAATGGGTGTCAATGGGTGTCAATGGGTGTCAATGGGTGTCAATGGGTGTCAATGGGTGTCAATGGGTGTCAATGGGTGTCAGTGGGTGTCAATGGGTGTCAATGGGTGTCAATGGGTGTCAATGGGTGTCAATGGGTGTCAGTGGGTGTCAGTGGGTGTCAATGGATGTCAATGGGTGTCAATGGATGTCAATGGATGTCAGTGGGTGTCAGTGGGTGTCAATGGGTGTCAATGGGTGTCAGTGGGTGTCAGTGGGTGTCAATGGGTGTCAATGGGTGTCAATGGGTGTCAATGGGTGTCAATGGGTGTCAGTGGGTGTCAATGGGTGTCAATGGGTGTCAATGGGTGTCAATGGGTGTCAATGGGCTCCCTGGGGCCCACGGCTCTCTCGCTATGGGGCAGCCCCATGGAGCGGCCGTGGGGCTGCAGCGGCTCCAGGCCAGCGGCGCCTTCCTGGGCACGAGCGGGAGCCTCCTGCTGGGGCTGCTGCGGGACAGCGCCCACCCCCGCTTCCGGCAGGCACCGCCCCGCCCACTATGCAAATGAACCCCGGCCCCGCCCACCGGGCTGGCCCCGCCCCTTCCCTTCATTCGGGGGGGTGGGGGAGATGGGGTCGGTGCTGTTGGGCAATGGCTGGGCTGGGGAAGGGGGGTAAGAGTAAATGGGGGTTGATTTGGGGTGTCATTAAGGGGTGATTAGGGCTTATTAGGGGTAATTAAGAGGTAAGTAGGGGTTAAGTAGGGGGTTATCTAAGAGTTAATTTGGGGTTTATTGGGGGTAAATGGGGATTTATTGGGGTAATTAAAGGTAATTAGTGGGGTAATTAAGAGGTAATTAGGGGTTAATTAAGAGCTAATTAGGGGTTTATGGGGGTAAGTGGGGATTTATTAGGGGCAATTAAAAGGTAATCAGGGATTAATTAGGGGGTTAATGAGCTAATTAGGGGTTTATTGGGGTAAATGGGGATTTCTCGGGGGTAATTAAAAGGTAATTAGCGGGGTAATCAAAAGCTAAATGGGGTTAATTGGGGGTTATTTAAGAGGTAATTTGGGGTTTATTGGGGGTAAATAGGGATTTATTGGGGTAATTAATAGGTAATTAGTGGGGTAATTAAGAGGTACTTAGGGATTAATTAAGGGCTAATTATGGTTTATTAGGGTAAATGGGGATTTACTAGGCTTAATTAAAAGGTAATAAGGAGTTAATTAGAGGAGTTAATTAGGAGCTAATCAGGGGTTTATTGGAGTAAATGGGGATTTCTCAGGGGCTAATCAGAACGTAATTAGCAGGGTAATTAAGAGGTAAATAGGGGTTAATTAGGGGGTTAATTAAGAGCTAATTAGGGATTTATTTGGGTAAGTTGGGCTTTATTGGGTGTAATTAAAACGTAACTAGCAGGGTAATTAAGAAGTAATTAGGGGTAATTACGGTGTTAATTACAGTCTATTAGAGGATTAATTAGGCGGCTATAAGAAGCTGGGTATGGTGTTTGTTAACGGGTTTATTAGTGGCTGCTATGGAGATCATTAATGTTCATTAACATTCAGTGATGCTCATTAACATTCATTTGTGCTCATTAACGTTCATTAATAAGCATTGGCACTCATCAAGATTCGTTATTGCTCATTAATATTCATTACAACTCATTCACGCTCATTAATATTCATCCACGCTCATTAATATTCATATGTGCTCTTAATATTCCTTGTCATTGGTATTGTCCCAGGTGCTGCAGCTTATCAAGGAGCCCCTCCCCAACGCGGAGCTGCTTGGGGGGGGCCCTGGGGGCTCTGAGTGACCCCAACCCCCCCATGGGGGGGCAATAAACACTGCCCCTCCCCCACATAGAGCCCAGCTGAGTGCTTGGGGGGGGTATGGGGTCTATAGGGGGCTATGGGGAGATGGGGTTATGGGGGTCTATAGGGGGAGTATGGGGAGAGGGGGTTATGGGGGGCTATAGGGGGTATGGGGAGGGGGGCTATAGTGGGGTATGGGGAGAGGGGGTTATGGGGGGCTATAGTGGGAGTATGGGGAGAGGGGGTTATGGGGGGCTATAGGGGGCTATGGGGAGAGGGGGTTATGGGGGGCTATAGGAGGGTATGGGGAGGGGGGCTATAGGGGGGTATGGGGAGAGGGGGTTATGGGGGGCTATAGGGTGGTATGGGGAGAGGTGGTTATGGGGGGCTATAGGGGGTTATGGGTAGAGGGGGTTATGGGGGTCTATAGGGGGGTATGGGGAGAGGGGTTTATGGGGGCTATAGGGGGACTATGGGGGGGTATGGGGAGAGGGGGTTATGGGGGTTCTATAGGGGGTATGGGGAGAGTGGGTTATGGGGGGGTCTATAGGGGGGCATGGGGAGAGGGGTTATGGGGGACTATGGGGGGGTATGGGGAGAGGGGGTTATGGGGGTTCTATAGGGGGTATGGGGAGAGGGGGTTATGGGGGGCTATGGGGTTGAGATGGGGTTATGGGGGAGCTATAGGAGGGTATGGGGAGAGGAAGTTATGGGAGGTATAGGGAGGTATGGGGAGAGGGGGTTATGGGGGGCTATAGGGGGGTATAGGGGGCTATGGGGAAATGGGGTTATGGGGGTCTATAGGGGGGTATGGGGAGAGTGGGTTATGGGGGGGTCTATAGGGGGGCATGGGGAGAGGGGTTATGGGGGACTATGGGGAGAGCAGGTTATGGGGGTGTCTATAGGGCGGCTATGGCTGTCCCCAAAAGGGGTTCCTGCGGGGGGGGTTCCCCATTGACCCGACCCCTCTTAGCCCCGCCCCCTGCTCTGATTGGCACCCGCCTCCTCCAATGGCATCGCCCCCCTCGGGCCCTTTCCTTAATGAAGCCCCTGTGGGGGGGCATGGGAGAAAGGGGGCACAAGCCCTGCCCCTTCGCCCCCATTGGCTGCTCTCAGCCAATCCGCTTCCTCCCCCCCCATTCCCACCCCCCTAATTCATCAACCCCCCCCCCTCGGGAGCTGCCGCTGGAGCCGCGACGGCGCCGGCCCCCCCCCGGGACACCCCCGGGACCCCAAAACCCCCCCGGGACCCCCCCTCCCCGCACCGGGATCCCCCTTTGACCCCCCCCTCCCCGTGTCCCCTTCCCCCCCCCGCTCCGTGTCCCCCTCCCCCCCCCATCCTCGGGGACCCCCCGGGACCCCCCCCGGCCCCCCCCCCCCGGTACCGGGACCCCCCCTGTTTGGGGGGGGGGGGGGCCGGGGGTTTCTGCATCCGCTTGGATCGGCTCCGGTGAGTGATGGGGGGGGGCGGTTGTCATGGGAACGGGAGGGGGTGACAGCGACAGCGGGAGTGTGACAGCGGGGGGGGGAGCAAGGGGTGACAATGGTGACAATGGGGAACAATGGGTGACAATGGGGAGCAATGGCAGACAAGGGTGACAATGGTGAGCAGTGGGTGACAATGGGGAGCAATGGGTGACAATGGGGAGCAACGGGTGACAATACTAATGATGGTGACAATGGTGAGCAATGGGTGACTGTGGTGAGCAATGGGTGACAGTGGTGAGCAATGGGTGACAGTGGTGAGCAATGGGTGACAATGGTGATGATGGTGGCAATGGTGAGCAGTGGGTGACAATGGGGAGCAATGGGTGACAATACTGATGATGATGACAATGGTGAGCAATGGGTGACAATAGTGATGATGGTGACAATGTTGAGCAGTGGGTGACAATCGGGAGCAATGGGTGCCAATACTGATGATGGTAACAATGGTGAGCAATGGGTGACAGTGGTGAGCAATGGGTGACAATGGTGAGCAATGGGTGACACTGGTGAACAATGTGTGACAATGGTGATGATGATGACAATGGTGAGCAGTGGGTGACAATGGGGAGCAATGGGTGACAATGGTGAGCAATGGGTGACAGTGGTGAGCAATGGTGATAACAGTGACAATGAGTGGCACCAATGGGGAGCAATGGATGACAATGGAGAGCAATGGGTGATAGTGGTCAGCAATGGTTGACAATGGTGATGATGGTGACAATGGTGAGCAATGGTGATAACAGTGACAATGAGTGGCAGGGATAGGGAGCAATGGGTGACAGTGGTGACAGTGGTGAGCAATGGGTGACAATGGTGAGCAATGGGTGACAATGGGGAGCAATGGGTGACAATGGTGAGCAATGGTGATAATGGTGACACTGAGTGTGGCAGCAATGGGGAGCAATGGGTGACAATGGTGACAGTGGTGACAGTGGGTGACAATGGGTGACAATGGGAGTGTGACAGTGGTGACAATGAGTGTGCCAGCAATGGTGAGCAATGGGTGACAATGGTGAGCAATGGGTGACATTGGGGAGCAATGGGTGACAATGGGGAGCAATGGTGATAACAGTGACAATGGTGACACTGAGCGTGACACCAGTGCTGGGCCCATGCTACCCGCACGCGTGTGCACACGCGTGTTGGAGCGTGTCCGAGCTCACGCGTGTTGGGGCCTCTCGGGGGGGGGGGGAGACAGCGCGGGGGGGGGAGAATGGACCGCGGTTGCCAGGGCCCCGTTGCCATGGGGACGGCGGATGCTGCCACGGCAACGGGGAGGCTGGGGAGGGCGCAAAGGATCATGGGAAAGGGGATGACTGCAAACCCACGCCCCCCCCCAACAGGAAGCGCCGGGGGTGACGCCGACGACCCCCCCATTGGGGAACCCCTTAATTGGGGACCCCCCCAACCTTCATTGACCCCCCTCTAATTAGGGATCCCCTCACACTCTACCCCGCCCTTAATTAAACCCCCCCTTAATTAGGGACCCCCTCCTCCATCACCCCCACAAACTGGAGACCCCCCTGCTCCATCACCCCTCCCCCATATCCCCCCCAATTAAGGACCCCCTTCATACCCCCCCTTATTAAGCACCCCCTTCCATTACCTCCAATTAGGGACCTCCCCTTTGATCACCCCTCCCCTAATTAACCCCCTAATTAAGAACCCCCCTCATATCCCTCCCTTATTAAGGACCCCGCTCCATTACCCCCAATAACCCCCCAATTAGTGCCCCTCTCCCAATTAGGGACCCCCTCCACCCCCATCCCCTAATTAACCCACCCAATTAGCGACCCCCCTAATTAGGGACCCCCTCCATCCCCCCTAATTAAGCCTCCCTAACTAGCATCCCCCTCCACACCCCACCCCCTATTTAACCCCCCCAATAAGGGACCACCCCTTAATTAGGGACCCCCTCCCCCCTCCAATTACACCCCCCTAATTAGGGACCCCCTTCCCCCCCATTAACCCCTCCTAATTAGGGACACCCTCCATCCCTCACCCCGTAATTAACCCCCCAATTAGCGACCCCCCAATTAAGGACCCCATGCATCCCCCCCCAGTTAACCCCCCTAATTAGTGACTCCCTCTAACCCCCCCTTATTAGGGAACCCCTCCACCCCCCACCCCATAATTAACCCCCCAATTGGTGACCCCCCTAATTAGAGACCCCCTTCATCCCCTCCTAATTAGGGACCCCCTCCATCCCCCCAATTAACACCCTGATTAGGGACCCAATCCATCCCCCCCTAATTAAACCCCCTGATTAGGGACCCCCTCCATCCCCCCCTAATTAGGGACCCCCTCCATCCCCTATTTAAACCCCTACCAATTTAGGGACCCCCCCATCCCCCCCATGCTCCCCCCCTTCCTCCCCCTCCTCTTCCTCCCCCTCCTCCTGCCCCTCCCCTCCCTTTCCTCCCCCTCCCCTCCCCCCTCCTCCCCTTCCCCTCCCCCCTCCCTTTCCCCTTCTCCTCCCCCCGCCTCCCCCCCCCGCGGCCGCCCGGGCTCGGTGACGTCACCGGTGGCGCCGTCGGAGCTGTGCCACGGGTACTATGACGTCATGGGCCAGTACGACGCGGCCTTCAACTGCTCGACGGGCAACTTCCGGTTCTGCTGCGGCACGTGCCACTACCGCTTCTGCTGCGAGCACCGGGGGCGGCGCCTGGAACAGCGGCGCTGCACGAACCTGCAGAGCCCCGGCTGGGCCCGCGCCCCGCCGCCACCCCCCCCGCGCCGCGGAGCCGCCGCCGCCAGGGGAAGGGAGGGGGGGGAGGGGGGGGAGGAGGGGGAGGGGGAGCGGGAGGAGGAGGGGGAGGGGGATGGTGGGGGAGGGGCGGGCAGCGGGACCCCGTACGTGGTGTGCGGGGTCGTGAGCCTCGTGCTGGCCGTGGCGGTGGCGGCGAGAGCGGTGCTGGGGAGGGGGGGGAGCGGGAGGGGGGAGCCGGGGCAGGATGATGGGGGCAGGTAGGGAAGGGGGATGGGGGGGGGGAATGGGATGGGGATGGGGATGGGGATGGGGATGGGGATGGGGGGATGGGGATGGGGATGGGATGGGGATGGGGATGGGATGGGGTGGGGATGGGATGGGGGATGGGGATGGATGGGGATGGATGGGATGGGATGGGATGGGGATGGGGATGGGGATGGGATGGGATGGGATGGGATGGGATGGGACGGGATGGGGATGGGGATGGGGATGGGATGGGATGGGATGGGACGGGATGGGGATGGGGATGGGGATGGGATGGGATGGGATGGGACGGGATGGGGATGGGGATGGGGATGGGATGGGATGGGATGGGACGGGATGGGGATGGGGATGGGGATGGGATGGGATGGGATGGGACGGGATGGGGATGGGGATGGGGATGGGATGGGATGGGATGGGACGGGATGGGGATGGGGATGGGGATGGGATGGGATGGGATGGGACGGGATGGGGATGGGGATGGGGATGGGATGGGATGGGATGGGACGGGATGGGGATGGGGATGGGGATGGGATGGGATGGGATGGGACGGGATGGGGATGGGGATGGGGATGGGATGGGATGGGATGGGACGGGATGGGGATGGGGATGGGGATGGGATGGGATGGGATGGGACGGGATGGGGATGGGGATGGGGATGGGATGGGATGGGATGGGGATGGGGATGGGGATGGGGATGGGGATGGGGTGGGGATGGGGATGGGGATTTGGGTCCATGGGGGGGTCACAAGTTTTGGATCCAGCCCCTCACTGTTCCCCCCCAATTTGTCCCGTTCCCCCCCCGCAATGTCCCCAGGGCTCTCATGGACGTCCTGCGGCACCAGGCGGGGGGGGGCCGCCCCGAGCGGCGCAGCAGTGGGGTTCTGCCCCCCCCACCCCCCGACAATGGTCCCGCCCGGCCCCCCAAGACCCTCTACAGCACCGTCAAGGCCTGCAAGGGCAGCTGGGGGGGGGCCATAGGGGGTAAGTGGGGCTTTGGGGGGGTGGTCAATGGGAGGGTCCCAGTGGGATCAATGGGGAGGGTCCAATTCGGGTCAATGGGGGGGGTCCCATTAAGATCAATAGGGGGGCATTCCATTGGGATCAATAGCAGGGGTCCCATTCGGGTCGATAGGGGGAGTTCAATTGGGGTCAACTGGGTGGGTCCTAGTGGGGTCAATGGGGGCGGTCTCATTGGGATCAATAGGGGGGGGCCCATTGTGGTCCATAACGGGGATCCCATTGGGGTCAATAGGGGTGTCCCTTTGGGATCAATAGGGGGTGTCCATTGGCATAATTACTAGGGCATCAGGTTGGGGTCAATAGAAGGGGGTCCCATTGGGGTCAATAGGAGGGGGTCCCATTGAGGTCAATAAGAGGGGGTCCCATTGTGGCCAATAGGGGGTTACCATTGGGGTAGATAGAGGCTGTCCCATTGGGATCAATGGTGGGGAGTCCCATTGGGGTCAATAGGGGGGTCCTGTTGGGGTCAGTGGGGGGTGTCGCATTGGGATCAAGTTGGGGGTCCCATTGCGGTCAATGAGGGGGTCCCATTGGGGTCAACAGAGGTTGTCACATTGGGATCAATGGGGGAGTCCCATTAGGATCAATAGGGATGTCCCATTGGGGTCATTGGGGGTGTTCCATTGGGGTCAATACAGGTTGTCCCATTGGGGTCAATAGGGGGAATCCTGTTGGGGTCCATGGGGGGGATCCCCTTGGAGTGAATGGGGGGGTCCCATTGGGGTCCATGGGGGGGACCCATTGGGGTCAATAAAGGTTGTTCCATTGGGGTCAATAGGGGAGATCACGTTGGGGTCCATGGGGGGGGTCCCATGGGGGTCCATTGGGGGGGGCCCATTGGGGTCAATAGAGGTTGTCCCATTGGGGTCAATAGGGGGAATCCTGTTGGGGTCCATGGGGGGGGTCCCATTGGAGTGAATGGGGGGGTCCCATGGGGGTCCATGGCGGGGGGCCCATTGGGGTCAATAGAGGTTGTCCCATTGGGGTCAATAGGGGGGATCCCATTGGGGTCCATGGGGGGGGTCCCATTGAAGTCAATGGGGGAGTCCCATGGGGTAGGGTGGGGGGCACATGCCAATGAGGGGTGCTAATGAGCCCCCCCCCCCCCATTAACAGACACGGGCCCCCACAGCTACGTCCACCTGGGCATGGGGACCCCCGAGCACCGGGCGGCCACGCTGGGTGAGCTATGGGGGGGGCTATAGGGGGCTATGGAGGGGCTATAGGGGGCTATGGGGGGGCTATAGAAGGCTATGGGGGGGGCTGTAGGGGGCTATGGGGGGGCTATAGGGGGCTATGGGGGGGCATAGGGGGCTATGGGGGGGTATAGGGGGCTATGGGGGGCTATAGGGGGCTATGGGGAAGCTATAGGGGGCTATGGGGGGGCTATAGGGGGCTATGGGGGAGCTATAGGGGGCTATGGGGGGCTATGGGGGGACTATAAGGAGGCTATAGAGGTTATAGGGGAGCTATGGGGGTGTATGGGGGCTATGTGGTTGCTCTAGACGGGGTCTATGGGGCTCTATGGGGGTTCTATGGGGGGTGCATGGGGGTTCTGTGGGGGTTCTATGAGGGGGATATAGGGGTCTATGGGGTCTGTAGAGGTCTCTATGGGCTCTACGGGGTCAGTGGGGCTCTATGGGGTCTATAGGGCTCTGTGGTCTCTATGGGGCTCTATGGGGTAAATGTGTCTCTATGGTCTCTATGGTCTTTCTATGCTCTCTATGGGTCTCTCTATGGATTCTATGTTCTCTCTATGGTCTCTATGTTCTCTCTATGGTCTCTATGGTCTTTATGGGTCTTTATGGTCTCTGGTCCCTATGGGTCTCTATGGGTCTCTGTATGGTCTCTATGGGTCTCTCTATGGATTCTATAGGTTTCCCTATGGTCTCTATGGGGTCTCTATGGTTTCTATGGTCTCTCTATGGTCTCTCTGGGACCCTATGTCTCTCTATGGTCCCTATGGGTCTCTCTATGGGTCTCTCTATGATCTTTATGGGTCCCTATGGTCTCTATGGGTCTCTATGCTCTCTATGGTCTCTATGGGTCTCTCTATGGGGTCTCTCTATGGTCCCTATGTCTCTCTAAGGGTCCCTATGGTCCCTGTGGTCGCTATGCTTTCTATGGGATCTCTCTGTGGGTCTCTCTATGGGTCTCTGGTCTCTCTGGGTCTCTATGGGGTCTCTATGGGGTCTCTCTGGGGTTACCCCATGATCTGACCCCTCCCCCTCTCTCTCTCTCCCCTCCCCCCAGACTGGCGGGGGCCCCGCTCGGGCTCCCTGAGCTGCTCCCGCTCCTTCCACAACCTCTCGCACCCGCCCCCCCCCTACGAGGGCCCCGCCCCCCCGGAGCTGGGGCGCTGCACGTCCCTGCGGCGCCTGGGTGAGCGCCGCGCCGCGCCGCGCCACGTGATCCCGTGGGCACACACGTGATCCTGTGGGCGCGCACGTGATCCTGTGGGCGCGCACGTGATCCCGTGGGCACACACGTGATCCTGTGGGCACACACGTGATCCTGTGGGCGCGCACGTGATCCTGTGGGCACACACGTGATCCCGTGGGCACACACGTGATCCTGTGGGCACACACGTGATCCTGTGGGCGTGCACGTGATCCTGTGGGCACACACGTGATCCTGTGGGCACACACGTGATCCTGTGGGCACACACGTGATCCTGTGGGCACACACGTGATCCTGTGGGCACACACGTGATCCTGTGGGCGGCACGTGATCCTGTGGGCACACACGTGATCCTGTGGGCACGCACGTGATCCTGTGGGCACACACGTGATCCTGTGGGCACACACGTGATCCTGTGGGCACACACGTGATCCTGTGGGCGCGCACGTGATCCTGTGGGCACACACGTGATCCTGTGGGCACACACGTGATCCTGTGGGCACACACGTGATCCTGTGGGCACACACGTGATCCCGTGGGCACACACGTGATCCTGTGGGCACACACGTGATCCTGTGGGCGCGCACGTGATCCCGTGGGCACACACGTGTTTGTGTGGACATACGTGTTTGTATGGACATATGTGTTCCTGTGGGCACATATGTGTTTGTATGGACATACGTGTACCTGTGGGCACACACGTGATCCTATGGACATACATGTTTGTATGGACATACATATTCCTGTGGGCACATACATGTTCCTGTGCACATACCTGTTCCTGTGGGCACATACGTGTTCCTGTGTGCATACGTGTCCCTGTGCGCATAAATGTCCCTGGGCACATACATGCTCCTCTGTGCATACATGTCCCTGTGGACACAAATGTGTTCCTGTGGACATATGCGTCCTTATGTGCATACATGTTCTTCTTTGCATATGTGTCCTTATGGACATACATGTCCTTATGTGCATACATGTCCCTATGGGCATACGTGTCTTTATTTGCATACATGACCTTATTTCCATATGTGTCCCTATGGACATACATGTTCTTATGTATATACATGTCCCAGTGCACATACAAGTCTCATGCACATACGTGTCCCATGCACACACATGTTCTATGCACATACCTGTTGCCATGCACACACATGTGCCATTCACATACATGTCCGTACGCAGACGCCTGTGCCCTCACATGACCCCTCCCCCCCCCACCTTTCTCCCCGCAGCTGACCGGGACCCGGATGACCCCTGGGGCAGTTACTGGGCCCCGGCCTGGGCTCCGCCCCCCCGCTCCGCCCTGCCCTTGGCTCCGCCCACCCCTCGCGGAGGCCCCGCCCCTCGCCGCGTGCTCTCGCAGGAGCTGCTGCTCGCGGGGGGGGGCTGGGGCGGGACCATGCCCCGCGCAAGGGGCGGGGCGGGGCGGCGAGACCCCGCCCCCTCGCCGCGGCCCCCCGCCCACGCCACCTCCCACAGCAGCCTGGCGGGGGGCGTGGCCAGGCCCGGAGGCTCCTCCCCTTCGCCGCCGGCTCCGCCCCCTGGTCCCGCCCCCCCTCCTCCTCCGCCACCGCCTCCCGTTGGGAGCGGCCCCGCGCACCCCCCCCGGCGCCTGCAGCGGCAGAGCACGGCCGAGCTCCAGCTCCTGCCCGGGCCCCCCCCCCACGGGCACCACCTGAGAACCGGCAGCAGAACCGAGGTCACCGTGTGAGGGGGAGGGGCAACCGGAAACATCCCCCCCTCCCCCACCAGGATCCGCTTTGGGATCGTCCCGTGGGAAACCCTTCCCGCCCCCCCCCCCCCCACCGGGATCCCCTTTGGGATCGTCCATTGGCAAACACTTCCCCCCACCGGGATCAGCTTTGGCACCGTCCCATGGAAAACCCCTCCCCCCCCCCACCGGGATCCCATGGGAAACCCCTCCCCCCACCGGGTTCAGCTTTGGTATCATACCAAAGCGAAACCCCTCCCCCCTACAGGGATCCCATGGGAAACCCCTTCCCCCACCGGGATCCGTTTTGGTATCGTACCATGGGAAACCCCGGGGGGGCGGGATCCCATGGGGAAACCCCTCCCCCCACCGGGATCCACTTTGGTACCGAACCATGGGAAACCCCTCCCCCCCCCACCGGGATCCCATGGGAACTCCTCCCCCCACAGGGATGCACTCTGGGATCATCCCATGAGAACCCCCCCCCAAAGACTGGGGTCACCCGGGGACAGGCCCCCCCCCATTGCGCTGGGGTGACCCCAGCTCTGATGTCATCAGCAGGGCCCCCCCCCGGGTTCTCCACCCCCACCCCCAGGCAATGACATCACAGCCCAGGAGTGACGTCACAGCCCGGGGGTGATGTCACAACCCTTGGCAGCCAATGAGGCCGCAGGTTGGGCTGATGTCACCCCTGGAGAGGTCCTAGCGGCTGATGATGTCACGGTGATGTCACAACCTCGGACTGAATGATGTCACAGCCTCCCCCCTGAGCAGCCAATGATGTCACAGCCCCTTCAGCACGGCAGCCAATCGCATCACTTGATGTCATTGCTCCGGAAATGGGTGATGTCACACTCGGCAGCCGATGACGTCACAGCCATCCGATGACGTCAGCACTGTGGCCCCCGCCCTGCCCTGCCGCCATGACGTCACCACTGGGGTATGACGTCACAGCGATCTCACTGCCAAGACTCCGCCCTCGTCCCGATGACGTCACGGGGCGGGGGCTTTTTTGATGATGTCACCTCTCTCCCCCTCCCCACCCCCCCCAACCCGGGGAGAGAGACTTCCTGTTTTTAACTCCTCCCCCTTTATGACGTCACCACCCCCAGTCGAGTGCTCTGATTATGTAAGCCCCTTCCGTGACGTCACAGCCCCTCCCTCCCCCCCCTCCCAGATCGAAGCCATACAATGGGGGAGGGGCGGTCCCCGTGACCCCCCCGTGACCCCTGCGCGAGGCGGAGGGAGGGGCCACGTGCCTTAGAGCCCCGCCCCCCTCGAGAACCCCCCCCCAACACCCTCCCCCTCCTCCGCCCAGGGCCCCCCCCCGCGAGAGGGGAGGAACGATGGGGGAGGGGAATAAAGTGACGTTTCCTGCCCACGTGACTCATTTGGGGTTGTCCAATGGGGGGGTGAAATGGAGCGGAGGGGGGGGCTTTGGCCGAGGGGTTGTGGGGCGGGGCGCTCCCGAATCTCGCGGTCTGATTGGCTGCTTGGTCCGCCCGTCATAGCCGAACCCCGCCTCCCCGCTGCCAGCGGAAGTACCACACTCTCGCTCCCTCTTCCATCGCCTCCCATTGGCCAATCCTTCCTTTTAAACCTCCAGGTTCCGCCCCTTCCGCCGACCGTTACGGCGCTCAGCCCGCTGCTCCCTCCCCGCCCATCCTCTTCCTCCCAGGGGGCACCAATCCCCGCTCAGCTCCCGCCCCTTCCCTCTCTCCCCATTGGTCCGCGCCTCTGCCCTCCACCTCCCATTGGCTCGCGCTGGGGGCCGCTAAAAGCGGGCGGGGCTCGCGGAGAGGCTCAGCGCGGCGGGCGGGCGGTAACGACAGCGGCGGCTGCTCCGCGCTTGGAACCCGAACCGGAACCGAACCGGAACCGAACCGGAACCGAACCGGAACCGGAGCCCCTCGGGGCAGCGTCCGGTGCCCTCCGCACCCGCCCTGGGGGGAGCCCCGGGCAGGCCCGGCCGCTATGGTGAGAGGAAAGGAGGGGGGGCGCTTATGAGGAGGCTGTGGGGGGATTTGGGGGTTTTGGGGTGATTTGAGGGGGTTTGGGGGAGTTTAGGGTGATTGGGGGATTTTGGGGTGATTTGAGGGGGGCTTGGGGTGATTTGAGGGGGGTTTGGGGGGTTTAGGGTGATTGGGAGGTTATGGGAGGGTTTGGGGTGGTTTTGGGGTGAATTAAGGGGTTTATGAGGTGATTTGGGGGTTTGGGATGATTTAAGAGGGTTGTGGGGTGGTTTTGAGGTGATTTGAGGGGGTTTTGGAGAGTTTTGGGTGATTGGGGGGTTGTGGGAGAGTTTGGGGTGGTTTTGGGGTGATTTAAGGGGGTTGTGGGGTGATTTGGGGGGTTTGAGATTTAAGAGGGTTATGGGGTGGTTTTGGAGTGATTTGGGTGTTTTTGAAGTGATTTGAGGGTGTTTTGGGGTGATTTGAGAGCGTTTTAGGGTGATTTGAGGGAGTTTAGGGTGATTGGGGTTTATAGGAGAGTTTGGGGTGGTTTTGGGGTGATTTGGGTGTTTTTGGAGTGATTTGAGGGTGTTTTACGGTGATTTGGGGGTTTTGGGGAGTTTAGGGTGATTGGGGTTATGGGAGGGTTTGAGGTGGTTTTGGGGTGAATTGAGGGGTATTTGAGGTGATTTGGGGGGGTTGGGATGATTTAAGAGGGTGATGGGGTGTTTTGGGGGTTTTGGGGTGGCTTGGGGGAGTTTAGGGTGATTATGGCGGTTATGGGAGGGTTTGGGGTGGTTTGGGGGTGATTTCGGGGGGTTTTGGGGTGATTTGGGGGGTTTGGAATGATTTAAGAAGGTTATGGGGTGGTTTTGGGGTGATCTGGCGGGGTTGGGGATAATTTAAGAGGGTTAGGGGGTGATTTTGGGGTGATTTGAGGGGCTTGTGGGGTGATTTGGGCCTCATCCCTTGTGTGTGTCCTCCACAGGAGACTCGTGGTGGTGCCTGGCAGGTGAGTACCTGGGGGGGGGCAGCTCCCATTGCCCCCAGTGTCAGCAGTGGGCACCCCCTGCTCATTGCCCATCAGTGGGGGGGTGTTAGGGGTCCATGGGGGGTGTTAGGGGTTCATGGGGGGGTCCATGGGGCGGGGAGTGTTTGGGGTCCATTGGGGGGGTCAGTGGGGGGTGTTTGTTGTCCATGGGAGGATTTTAGGGGTCCATGGGGCGGTGTTAGGGGTCCATGGGAGGATTTTAGGGGTCCATGGGGGGGTGTTAGGGGTGCAGGGAGGGTCCATGGGGGGTGTTTGGTGTCCATGGAGGGGTGTTGGGGTCCATGGGGGGTGTGTTTGGGGTCCATTGGGGGGGGTGTTTGGTGTCCATGGGGTCTCTGAGGCCTCTCCCCCCCAGACCTCGAACGTGGAGAACCTCCCCCCCCACATCCTGCGCCTGCTCTACCGGGAGCTCTCCCTGCTCAGCGCCGACCCCCCCGCCGGCATCAAGCTCTGCCCCAACGATGAGGACGTCACCGACGTGCAGGTCACCATCGAGGGGCCCGGTACGAGAGCAATGCACCCCCCACTGCACCCCCCACTGCACCCCCCACTGCACCCCCCCAACGCACCCCCCACTGCACCCCCCACTGCACCCCCCACTGCACCCCCCACTGCACCCCCCCACTGCACCCCCCACTGCACCCCCCACTGCACCCCCCACTGCACCCCCCCACTGCACCCCCCCACTGCACCCCCCACTGCACCCCCCACTGCACCCCCCACTGCACCCCCCACTGCACCCCCCCACTGCACCCCCCCACTGCACCCCCACTGCACCCCCCCACTGCACCCCCCACTGCACCCCCCCACTGCACCCCCCCACTGCACCCCCCACTGCACCCCCCACTGCACCCCCCACTGCACCACTGCACCCCCCACTGCGCCCCCAACTGCGCCCCCCACTGCGCCCCCCACTGCGCCCCCCACTGCACCCCCCCACTGCACACCCCACTGCACCCCCCCACTGCACCCCCCCACTGCACCCCCCACTGCACCCCCCACTGCACCCCCCACTGCACCCCCCCACTGCACCTCCCACTGCACCCCCCACTGCACCCCCCACTGCACCCCCCCAATGCACCCCCCACTGCACCCCCACCCCCCCACTGCACCAACACCCCAATGCACCCCCACTGCACCCACAGCCCCCCAATGCACCCCCAATGCACCCCCACAATGCACCCAATGCACCCCCAATGCACCCCCCAATCCACCCCCCAATGCACCCCCCAATGTACCCCAATGCACCCCCCTGCACCCCCAGCCCCCCAATGAACACAATGCACCCCCAATGCACCCCCAATGACCCCCACCCCCCAATGTACCCCCACTGTACCCCAATGCACCCCAGTGAACCCTAATGTAACCCCAATGTATCCCCATCTACCCCCAATGCAGCCCCAGTGCACCCTAATCCACTTCCATGTACCCCCAGTGCACCCCAATACATCACAGTGCACCCCAATGTACCCCAATGCACCCCCCAATGCACCCCCAATGAACCCCAATGAACCCTGATGTAACCCCAATGAATCCTAATGTAACCCCTATGTACCCCCAATGAACCCCAATGTACCCTCAATGCACTCCAGTGCACCCCAGCGTACCCCAATGCACCCTAATATACCCCCAATGCACTCCCAATGCACTCTAATGTACCCCCAATGAACCCTAATGTAACCCCAATGCAGCCCCACTGCTCCCCAATGTACCCCCATGTACCCCACTGCACCCACGTTTACCCCAATGCACCCCTATGTACCCCAATGCACCCCCACTGCACCCCTAATGTACCCCAGTGCACCCCAATGTGCCCCCACTGCTCCCCAATGTACCCCAGTGCACCCGCACTGCACCCCTGTGTACACCAATGTACCTCCCAGTGCACCCCAATGCACCCCAATGTACCCCAGTGCACCCCAATAGCCACCAGTGCACCCCAGTGCAGCTCAATGCACCCCCAATGTACCCCAGTGCAGCCTAGTGCACCCCACTGC